ACAGGGGGCCCGAGACCTGCAGTGGACCCACTGGCCCAGGGCCCAGGCTTTCTGGCCCCCAGAGCCCCAGCAGTGCCCTTGGGTGTCCTGTGTGGTAGGCAGAGTGCAGGCTTTGGGAGGACCTGAGCCTGATACATCACTGCCAGTCCCAGAACACTGGTGACAGCCTCTCCAGGGACCTCAGGCAGCCCTGGGAAGGTCTGAGGCCAGCTGCTCCTTCCTGCCGGCCCACGGGGGACAGGGGAGCTGGGCAGGACTCTGTTGTGGCTCTGGAAGCTGGGCCAGGCCTGCCGGGTGGTGGCTCTGATGACCCCAAATCCAGGCTGAGGGTCCTGTTTCGTCCCTAGCCCTCCTCAGTGGTGTCCCTTCAACCGGGCCATGCACCACGGCCGGCCGCTGGCCTCCATTAGTACTGGGTTGGAATGCAGTGTATTCCTGTTGGCCCAAGGCCAGGGCTCGGGTGTCCAGGCAGGGCCCTGCTCCCTGTGTGGACAGGGATACTCCCTGTCCTGCCCAACACACACACAGCCAGGGAGCACCCTACTGGCTCCCCCACAGTCCCTGTGGCTTGGGGCACCCAGTGGGTCCCTACTGTCGCTGGCCCCCATGCCCAGGAAAATAGCCAGCTCCCAGCAAGAGGAGACCCCGCTCTCAGTGAGGGACATGGGCCCTGCATGCCTCAGACCCCACATCATGGCCACCCAGCGGCTGGCCTCAGATCTGACTCCTCCCCCAGGCCAGCATGCACCCTGCTGGACCCTGAGTCTAACCCTGAGCCTGCCCACCGCCTCCCGCACGTGCCTTGGGGCACTTGGCCTCCCACTCTGAGCCACTTTTGTCTCACTAAAAGTGAGTACAAGTGCCGCAGAGCCCAGCGCCAGGCCCTCCCTCCCCGCTTGTCCCTGCCCGCCCTGCCAGGACGCTACAGGGGCTCAGCCAGGCCCAAAAGCAGTACACCACTGGGGCCTCCCTCCTCAGCAGCCCACGCCCATATTCTAGCTATAGAGGCTCAGGAACTGCCTGGCTCCAGAACTTTCTGGAGGGCATGTGAGGCTGGGGCGGAGCCAGTGGCCTGACCTCTAGCCTGCTCTACAGGCCTAGCCTGAGGTCGCCTGGGGCCTGGGGAAGTCTCAGGCAGGGGCCATAGCATGTCTGCTGTTTCTGCAGGAGGGGACCAGTCACCAAGCTGGATTCCTCATCTGGTAGAGGCCAGAGCCCAGGAGAGGCCTGGTCACCTGAGTGGCCTGCAGGCTGTCCTGAACTGGCCCCACCTCCCAAGCAGGCAGAGACGGGTGGGGACACCCGTCTGCACACCCCTAGGACAGGGCAGAAGAGAGGGCCACTTCCTGCAGTGTGGAGCGGGGGAGCCAGGACAGGGAGGCAGACCAGTACTGACCGCCTGCCTGCGTGGGAAGCGGCCGGGCCTCAGGCATGGAAGGAGCCTGGGAAGCGGGCCAGAGGTCATGGCTGAGCCAGAGCGGCAGTCACACTGGGTACCCTGGGAGTGCCCTATGATGGCCCCCCTTCCCGTCCACCAGGACTGGGGGTGTCCTAGGGCGGGGACATTCCAGGCAATTGGAGCTGCTGGGGGCCCAGCAGTGCTCTACTTGAACCTGAGTCTTGTCATCAGTGTCATCAGTGGGGCTGGCAAAGGACTCCTGACACTTTGGCCCTGGGCACTCAGAGCCTCCCGGGCAGCCAGCCTGAGCCAGTGCCACCACGCATCTCAGCAGGGTGACACCAGGCACAGGGGAAGGGGGGCCTGGGTGACACAGCAAGGCCAGAGGGTGCTCAGTCCCGCCTGCCAGAACCGTCCCAAGAGCGCTCCCTCTTGCTTAAGTGGGAGTGTGCTTGTCTGGGGAGCTGCCGGCAGCAGCCCTTCTGCAGCCCCGGCCCTCCGGCCCGGCCTCCGCCCTGCAGAGGCAAGGCCAGTGTGGTGTCGTCAGCTGCCCACTTCCTCTCCAGCCTCTGTGGCTTCAACCCTTGGGCTCTGCCCCACCAGGCGGGGCAGGTGGCTGGGACACAGAACCCACCACACTGGCCCAGCGCCACTTTCCTCCTGGTCATCTACTATCTGAAGGGCAAGGAGGGGCCAGCCCCGCTGCTGTAATGGAAACTTCCTGGCCAGGCTGTGAGTGGTGACAGCTCGAGTTCCACCCCACGGAGGCTCTGTCTTCAGTGATCTCGGGCCAGGCAGGTCAGCCATCGCCGAAAAGACAGGGCCACACTGCAGGAGCCAGGTGGGCCGTGTGTGCATGTGTGTGTCCATGTGTGTATATGTGTGTGCACACATCGTGTCCTCTGCAGCCCTACAGAGGACAGCACTACAGGTGGTTGTCCACAGTGGGTCAGCTGGGCTGGGAGTCCAGGGGCAGCTTGGTATGGGATAGGGAAGCTGAAATGCTGCCAAGCGGGGCGCCCCAGCCAGGGTCCGAGCAAGGAAGGGCTGTCCCCCACAGGGCAGGCAGGGCTGGAGGCCAGCCACAGGTCTGCTGCTGTGAGGAGGCCCTGTCCCATCCCAGGCTTTGGGTGACAGGCAGGTGCCCTGGGGCAGGCAGAGTGGGCATATCACCATACCTCTTTCCTCCTTGGGGCAGGAGGCAAGAAGCAGGTGGGAGCTCTGGTCTCTCAAAGGCTTTGTGACAAGGGGGAAATGGCCAACCCCAAGAGGACACCAGGGTCTCCCTGATGCAGCTGTGGCCAGGCCTTGGCACACAGGGCCCTTGGCCCGCCAGCCTGAGTCCACTGGGCCTGCTCCTGGACTGGGACCCCTTCCCATGATCCATCTGAGCCAAGGAAGGTGATGGACTCTGTACTCTCCTGCCTGGGCCCAAGTGTCCTGCAGGCATGGCTCCAGGGCTGTGCAGTGCCCACTACTGGCACAGGCAGGGAGCAGTGGATCCACGAGGTCCTTGTCCTCCCAGAGAGGGTTGGACTGGCGTGGGAGGCCTCCCTCAGCAGTCCTGGCATGTGTGACACTCCACAGGCCTGAGATCCTGGAACTATTTTCCACCCTTTATCACCCTTTTGTCACGAGCTGGTCACAGAGCAAGTGCACTTGAGTTACCCCGTCCCTGTAGCTCCAGGGCCAGCGGGAGGTGGCACCCTATGGCTTCACCTGCTTCTCAGCAGGGAGCCGAACCCCAGGAAGGTCATTTTCCTACTTGACCAAGGTCACAGAGGCCAGACTGAGCCAGCTCCTGGGGACACCAAAGGCCCGTGTCCTCCTGGAAGCTCTCTCCCCTGCCAGGCCTTAACTGGAGATGCCCAGGGCACCCTCAGAGGGTGGGAAAGGGGAGGACCGTGAGAGTCCTCACTGCCCTCACCCTGCATCTGTGCAAACACAGCCACCCCAAGGGATGGCCACAGCGCAGAGGTGTCACCACAGGCTCCAACCCCAGCATGCCCTGGACTTGCAGGCTCATCCCTGCCAGGTCCAGGACAGAGGTTGTCATGTTCCCGGGGGCCAGCACAGAAGGCTGAGGCCATAGGGTGGCCCAGAGCCTGCAGCCACAACCCATACACACACACACACACACACACACACTTCACACACTGCGTGCAGGCAGCCACCACCCCAGGCACACGCACTCACACCGCTCCCACCACGCCCCAGAGCGCTGAGCACGCCCCCTCCCCCAGCCACACCGCTGCTGCTCCTCCCCGAGGGGATTTGCAACGAAACCTGATGCAGCAGTGACATTACTAAACCCGTGTGGGTGGCACCCAAGGCCCCTGGCTGTTTGTGCCCCCAGGCTCTGGATCAGAGGGGGGACCCTGTGGTCCCCCTCAGGGCAGCTGCTCCTGCCCCCGGGGACCCGAGGTCACTGCTGGGTGACCGCAGAAGCCCCTACTCTCCAGTTTTCATCCTGGGACAGGGCCTGAGGTCCATGCTGAGTGGGGGCCACGCCCAGGGTGAGCAGTTCCCACCAAAGACCAAATACAAAGGACCTGGGGGACCTGGTGGGTGGAGGAGCCCTGTGTCACCCTGCAGCCAGGAGGGGCAGGGGACCCAGCTCCTCTGTGGGCAGCTGAGACTCCCACCCTCCCTGGCCCCTGTGCCCTGGTGGACTAAGGCAGTGAGGTCAGTGCCCAGGATCTAGAAGGCCCTGGCTTCTGCACGGTGGCCAGCAGGGTCTGAGTGGAGCAGGACTGAAGGGCTTGGGGCCCAGGGCCTGCTCGGGCCCTAACACAGAGCCCGGCCCCGCGTGTGGGTGGGGGAGGGGCACAGGAGACAAGGGCCCCAAGCAGCTAGAAGGAGCCACAGGGCAGATTGTAGAAGCAGAGACAGGTACATGGAGAGGCTCAGCAGGCAGGGACAGGACGCAGTGTGGTACAGTTGAGGGTGGGCCTGGGTCTCAAGGCATGGCCGGCAAGGTGGCAGGAGCCCACTGGAGGGAGACCCCATCCCATACTCCAGCCCCGTGGGAAAGCCAGCAGCAGAAACATAGACGTTCACTGCACCCTGACCCACGGGCTCAGACACCACCAATGACAACAGGCCGCCAGCTTCCACACGTGGCAAACGGGATGGCTGTAGACTGGGGACAGCAGCCCACGCAGCCAGAACAGGAGCAGTCAGCAGACTCGGGTGGAAGACATGGCTCACGTAGAGGCTGGCTTCTGGAGCCTGTCTGCCTGCTGCCTGCAGCTTCTGTAACCCCATCTCTCTCACCTCAGCACCATGCTCCAGTAAATGAGGACCACAGCTCGAGCCCTGCGCCCCGACTCCGGCCCAGAAGCCCTGCATGGGACCGGAAAGGATGAGGCGGCTGCGGGGGGCTGGACACGGCCCCAGGCAGAGGTGGGATGGCTTCCCAGAGGTGGCTCATTGTGTGGTTGGGGTGGACAGGCAAGGGCAAAGGGCTCCAAGCCTCACCCGGCAGACAGGGGCGTGGGGCTGACCAGAGTGTGCAGTGGGGGGGCTGAGCCGTCTGGCTTGGGGGGGGCAGCACGCAAGGCCAGGGAGGGGGACAGCAGGGGTGGGGCTGGAGAGTGGAGGGGCTGGGGGAGGGGAGGTGAAGATAGCAGTGCCAGGCTGTCACCCGGGAGCCTCAGTCCAGGACACAGGGGCCAAGGCTTCCAGGAGAGAAGGTGTGTCGAGGTTTCTCTGGCAAAGCCTGCAGGTTCACACAGGAGGGCCCAGAGCTCAGACTTGAGGCTGGTGTGGCCCAGCTGGAGTGGTGAGATCATCAGGTGGTCAAAGCTGGCAGAGTTGCCTGCCACAGCCAGGGGCAGGCACAGGCACAAGAAGTGGCCTGGTGGCTGGGAGATTGCACAGTAGAATAAGTGCTTGCCTGGCAAGCGAAAGGTCCTGAGTTCAATCCCCGGTACAGCAAAGGAAAAAAAAAAAAAAGAAGAAGTGGCCTGGCTCCTGGTCCTTGTGCCCGTACAACAGTGGCATCCTGTGTCACAGGTGAGGCACTGAGGTCCACAGAATCCAGGGCTCTGGCTCCACCTTCCAAACCAGGCTGAGCTGATGAGTGGAGAGTGGCCCTGGTGAGCCCATGGGCAGGGTGGAGCCCGGCTAGGAAGAGGGAGCCAGATCTGTGTGTGTGTGTGTGTGTGTGTGTGTGTGTGTGTGTGTGTGTGTGTGTATTTGAGACAGGGTCTCCACATGCAGTTCAGGCTGACCTTGAGCTCTTTGTAACCCAGGCTGGTCTTGAACCCTCCTGCCTCAACCTTCCAAGTGCTGGGATTATAGGTGTGTACCCCCAGGGGAGGCCAGCTCTTTGGAGAACCCCAGCAGCTCATCTCACCTCCAGCCACCCTGTCCCTACCCTGGCCCAGCCCTGCTGAGCTGGGCTCCACACTCACATGCCCCTACCCTGTCCCAGATCCCCTTAGGCCTTTCTGGAGCCTGAACAGTAGCCTGACCCCCAAAACTGGCCTTCGCCCTGAGAGCACCCCTTGCCAAGAAGCTGAGGCTGGGCCAGGGATGCTGACACCCCTCACCCTGTCCAGGGCTCTTGGGACAGTGCGGCCAGCAGTGATCTAAGGCCTCTCCTGGCCCTGATCGTGGTCACTGGCCTCTCCTGGCCCTGATCGTGGTCACTGGCTCTCCCCGGCCCTGATCGTAGTCACTGGCCTCTCCTGGCCCCCGTCTCACACTGCAGACTGCCCTGAGAGGCTTCTCCCTGCCTGCTGCCCACTGTGAAGTGTTATTGTTCTCACCACTGACCTGGAAAATCATGTGAGCCCCAGTACTGATGGGGAGCAGAGCCCAGGATGCAATCTGGCCCTCGGCCTCATCCACTTATGATGTCTGATCCCAATGGGACAGAGCCGAGGGCAGTGGGCAGCAAGCCTCAGGCACCGAGGCCAGGTGAGGGCAGGCCAGCATCTCCACACCTCTGGGGTCCTGTGCTCCAGCTCCCTCTGCACAAGCCCAGAGGAGGCAGCAGGTATGGTGGTTGGAGTGACCAGTGTCCAGCAGAAGGGCTCACAGCTCTGCCACCCTCTGTCCCCAGGAGAGAGACAGAAAGCAACCACCATCCATCCTGAGACGGAGCTGGCCAGAGCGCCAGCCCCCCGAGGCTATGCCACCAAGGACCTCAAGACGCGTGCGGTTCCGGGAGCCCCTGGAGGTGGCCATCCACTGTAAGAAGGTTTACGAGCAAGCGGGGGGGCTGGCAGCAAGGATCTGGGTGGGCCAAGGTGGGACCCCAGTCCCTGTCCTGTGGTCCCTGTGGAACCCCAGTAATCCCCATGGGGCCCTCAGGATGCAGGGCAGGAGGGGACACCGGGTGGCTCACCCACCCACTCTCCTCTGGAGAGGGTCAGAGGCTGCACTGGCCATGGCTCCCACGGAGGCAGGGCACTGGGCAGACGGATATGTATCACAAACTCCTTCACAGATGTCACCTACAGGGAGCCCACAGCCACAGTCAGAGGTGAGCCTTGAGCCCCAGCCCATAAGCCAGGCCCTGTGGAACGACCTCCCTCCCTATCCCACTGGCCCAACAAGCCCAGCTGTCAGCAGAGCTGCTCCTCAGCCATTGTCCCTGACACAGGTGGGCCACAGCACCTGGCACCCCAGGGACGTCCTCTACTCCTGAGGCTATCTCTATGTGTCCTGCTCGGGGTGGCGCTGGGCCTGTACTGCAGCTGGGCCAAGGCCATCACCACAGCCCTCGAGGACCTCCAGACCCAGCTCCTGGTCCTTGTCCTGCGTCTCTGGCACACGGCCCTGAGTGGCTGGCATTGCCTCCTGCGGTTCTGACCACCGCCGGCGAATGGTATCTTCACAGGTTGCCCTGGTGAGTGAGGCTCTGGGGAGCTCCGTCTCAGATCCTGGAGCTCATGGGCAGACAGCCCTGCTGGGTAGCACTTGGCACCACTAGGGGACCCTGCAGGGGTGCTGTGTAGCTGGCAGAGAGGGACACTGTGCAAGAGGCCACACATGGGGAGCCAGCAGGCAATCTGTCCTCCCCTCCTGGCATGCAGGTGCTGGGGAGGCTGCCGGAGAGGACAGTCAGCTCCTGCCCCAGCTTTGTCCTGCTCTACCGGTGGGCCCTGTGTACCACTGAGTACAGGACCCAAGAGGCCAGGACAAGCCCCACCTGAGGGCTGCACACCAGGACGCCTCTTATTTCACCTCTCCCAGGGCAGCCACGCCATCATGGAGGCTCAGAGGTGAGGTTCAGCCCTCCCAGGCCTGAGGAGCCCCCCCATCCCTTCTTCCTGGAGGCTGCTCCTTGTGCTCTGCACCGTGGCCCAGCATGGCCCCCTTCTCATGGCCCGTGGGGTCCACAAGTCCACGTCCAGCCCTTTCTCACTAAGTGCTGCCTGGAGACACTGCCTCTGATAGGTCACCCATCCATCTCCCACCTGGGTTGCATGGGGTGCTGAGACCTGAGCCCCAGAAGCACAGACACGAAGCCCAGCCTTAAGGAAGACAGCTCCTGGGAACCTCTGAAGAACTGAACAAAGCCCAGACACAGCCATTTAAACCATAGCTAAAAAGCTGAGCACACGGCTGGGGAACAAACCCCTTACCCCAGAGATGCTGGAGTTCATAGTTTTATTGTGACTTGGAGAAATAGATACATGGAAAATTGAGAATCTTCGCATTCAGTTCAGCCAGAAGTCGAGCTAAAACAAAATGCCCTCAAGAAAGGCCGGAGAGAAGCCGGGTATCTTGGGAGCAGTGGTGCAGCCACTGTGGGACCGGGCAGCCCTGCGCTCCTGCCCTGGACCTGTTTCCAGGCCTCTACCCACCCGGATGCAGGCTGCCCCAGATCAGCCCTGGAGCCTGAGGGGGCAGCTGCTCAGGACTGGCATGGTGGGGCCCAGGGAGCCGAGCCCCACTCTGTTCCTCCCAGGATCCCAGGCAGCTGCAGCAGAAGTGGGGGTGGGGCAAAGCAGAGGCAAGGTAGAAGCCACAACTCTGTGCAGGGCACAGATAAGCAGCTCTGAGGCAGGACAGGTCCCCATGTCCAGTGATGACATCAGCTTTGGGGGCTTCAGACGGTCCAAACACCTCCCCGAACACCTGGCTCCCCACAGGAAGTTCCCAGCAGGGCTTGACCTTCAGCCCTCACCCCTCACCCCTCACCCCTGGCCTGGGCCCCCCCACAGCACCTGCCTGCCCTGCACCCTTCAAGCTGGTCCTGTTTACTCAGGGTCCAGCTCACCACGCCAGGTCCTTCGAGGTGGCCCCGGTCACAGTAGAGCCCAAGCTGGGGGAACATGCTGGGGACACACTTCTGAAGGCTGTGGTTAGGGTCAGGGCTGGGGGTCTCTTCCACCTTAGGGCCCCTTCCCTGGAACAGGACAGGGGACCCCCAAGAAAAGGAGGTGCTGGCTTTCCCCAGCAGAGTGCTGAGGACAGCAGAGCCAGGCCCCAGTCACACAGGCTCAGCCTCCACTTGGCTAGCAGGTGGGCTTACTGCCCTTGGGAGCACAGCCTTTCTCCTGGGCCCATGGGGGCCAGCTCTGCGGTCTGCTCCCATCCACATGTGTGTGCTCACACATGTGTGTACCCACACATGCGTGTGCTCACACATGCAGCCTCTGGAGGCAGAGTACAGACACCCAGTCCAGGGCTCTGCCCCAACTGCCTGTGGCTGGACCCTCAGCAGGGGTCCACGCTCCCCTTCCTGTGGCAGGGCCAGGGCTGCATGTAGGGCTGGAGGGGCCCAGGCAGGGACACAGAACCTAAATGACTGCGCTCTTCTCCCCCTGGAAGGAGGTTCGAGGGCCTGGCCTGGCCAGCAGCAGCTCCTTCTCGTGGACCAGGCTGTCCAGCAAGTCCTCCTGGCGGTAGTTGTGGTAGACCTTCAGGAAAGCCAGCGTGGTGATCGCCAGCCATGCCAGCCACGAGGCCCAGAGGCCAAACTATAAGAAGACAGCAGTGTCAGGGCAGGGCCAGCCCCCAGTATGTGCCCCACTAGCCTGGCCAGGCAAGGGACAAGAGGGGGCCCCTGTGTTCTTCCCCCATGAAGTGAAAGTCACCGTTACATCCCTGAGGAAACTGCATCTTGGCAGAGGCCAGGAACCAGGCTGCCCCTGCCTAGCAGACACAGGCCCTGGCCAAGATCAGTGGCCAGGCAACACCCCCCTCCCAGCACGTGGGGCTCTTAGTTCCCAGAAAGCATGCCAATCACAGCCCCTGCAGTCACCAGAAAAGACTGACCTTTAGCTGCTGCTTCTAAACAGCTGGAGGAGAAACAACCTAATCAGCCCCAGGCCTGCACCACATCAGACTGATTCTCATTCGAGCATGTTTGTCACCCTCACGGTCATCTGACTGGCACAGTTAAGTCCAAAACATCTTCCACTCAATTTGCATGAAGGTGACTGACCTGGGCAGCTTGTCTCAGCAAAGGACCCCCAGGCCCCCATGTCCAGACCCCTGAGGGGGCTCCTGGCCACACTGAGGCCCTGAGGCCAGCCACTGGCCCACAAGGAGTCCAGGCTGGACCCAGAGGCTAAGCCGCTGCTGGGTGTGAAGAGGCCAGCCTGGGCCTTCCGGCCTCATCTGAGCCCTGCCCTGCTGGCCCCAGGCTGCAGCACTGGGCCTCCCCAACTCTGGGCACCTTCTTGTTTGGGCATGTTTCACCCATACCCTACCCCCCACTGAACCCCGGAGCACCCTGCTCTTCCCTGGGCCCTCCACCCCAGGAAGCCTTTGCACCTGAAGGGGTCAGGGGTACCCCGTCCAGGCCCCTTCCTGCCCACCTGAGCAATGGCGAACTGATCGTAGAAGGCAGAGTCATCTACATTCAGCTCCAGGCCGATGTCTTGCAGCTCCTCGCAGCTGAAAGGCGGGGTCGGGGTGGTGACTGACAGCCCACCAGACCTCACAGGTCTGGTCTCAAGCCTCAGTCGGTGGTGCAGGCTCCAGGGAAGGGGGCTGGATGGCCACGGTCCTCTGAAGAAGGGTGCAGTGAGGCTGGGGTCCAGAGCCCCGCCCTGCCCTGACACTGCCCGGGACACCACCAGGGAGCCCCTACTGGACATGGCCAACACCTACACGAAGCTCCACACTCCCATCACAGCAAGGTCTGGGCGGCATCCTCACAGGGCCGCAGGGGCAGCTGGGGGAGGCCCCAGCAGGGCAGGACGCCTGGCGAACCGTGGGCTGCCTTACTGAAGGCCCACAGGCGGCACGGACACCGTGAAGGCCGAGCAGCAGCTCCAGCTGCAGGTGAGGACCCAGTGAGACCACTGGGTCTCAGGCCTTCTCGTCTACCCAGGCCCCAGATGCAGGCACCGGACAGGTGAGACATCCTGCCCTGCTCCACTGGCCTCCAGTTTAGATGTCGAGTCCGGGTCTGACTCCACGTAAAGAAAGTGGAGCCCCAGGAAGAGGTGAGCCCAAGTCCTGCCTTCTAGGCCTGCACAGTCTTGCAACGGGCAGGGCCCTCACTCCAGAGAAGCGGACAGTAACCATACTCCACCCCAGGCACCACCGGCCAGGCACCACCTGGCTCAGCACAGCACCCATCCTGCCCCCAGAAGTACCTGACTGCTGGGGACCCACCTCACCCCAAAATGCTCTGTTCCGTTCTCCACTGTTATCCATCTGACACCCACCCTGGGCCTCTGGGAGCCTGATTATTACCCCCAATGGCAAGGAGAGGACAGGAAACTGAACCCCAGCTCCACATCTACCCACATCAGAGGCCCTGGCTCCAGAGCAGGAAGGAGGTGCCCAACACTGGAGTGGGGCTCAGGAAAGGGGCCAACCAGGTAGGCACGGGTGGGAACCAGGTGGGGACCAGGTGGGACCAGGTGGGGACCAGGTGGGACCAGGTGGGGACCAGGTGGGGACCAGGTGGGGCCAGGTAAGCACCGGTGGGGCAAAGCTGCAGCCTCTGGGTGAGCTGCACGAGGGGTTCTGTCTGTGGGTGCAGGTTGGTGACAGGGAAGGGTAGGGCCCAGCACACCTGTGGGGCACAGTGCCCTTCTCCGTGATGGCGTCGCACCACATGGTGAAGCCCACACTCACGATTGTGCTGGCAATGAAGACCAGGAAGACCACAAAGGCGCTCACCAGGAGGTTGAGGAAGGCGTAGAAGAAGGAGCTGCAGGTGGGTGGAGACAGGGCTGCTGGGGCGACCGGGACCCTTCCCCAGCAACGACCCCAGTGTGGAGGGACCCCAGCCCGAGCTCCCTGGTGGGTCAGGGCCCCTCGATGCCCATGCCAGCCCTCAGCTGCCCGTCTCCTCCTTCCCAAGACTGGACTGAGCCCACAACGCCCTCCTGTCCAGGGGAGATGGGGCCAATACATGGACCAGTGTGCATGCTGGAAATGCAAGACCCATGCAAGACTGCCCAGCTCCGGGCACCAACCCAGGCCACCCACCCTGAGGACCACTGTCCAAGGCTACTATCCACAGTTGCCCGCGGCTATGGGATGAGTTCAGAGTTTCCTGAATTCATACATGAAAACCCTAATCTCAAGGTGGAGGGAGTAGGAGGTAGCCCTTATGAGGTGGCTCGGTGTGGGGTGGAGCTTCCAGGGTGGTATCAGGGTCTCTGTAGCATGACAGGACACAGCAAGAAGGCAGCACCAGAGAAACAGGAAGCCGGCCCTCCATGCCACACGGTGACTGCGGGCCCAGGTGTGTTCTGAGGCCACACTGCATCATCACACCAGGCATGACCCACATGAGGCACTAGCCACCAGCTCCACGCCCATCGAAGCCTCCAAGGCCAGGCTGGGCCATGCTGACACGGTCCAGCTCACAAAGGCAGCATGAGCCCACGCAGGGCCAGGGCTGGACACAGGGCACAGGTGGCCAGGACACCACCCCATGGGGACCCCTTGAGGCAGCAGGGCAACAGGAGGCTGAGGAAGCACCTTGCCCGCCCCAGACTGACACCGGCTAGAGGTCACGCCAGTGCCACCTGCAGAAAATCTGAGCAAGGTCTCAGGCTAAACTGGCCTCAGGGTGGTAAACAAAGGCGTGACCAGGATCTCACCCAGGAAAACCTCAGTCCCTGTGATCTGACCATGGTGACACACGTCAAGGTGCAGCGCCCTGGCACTGCTGGCTCATCTGCCACTAAGTTGTTTGACACGCCCTTGGCATCTATCCACAGCCTGTGCTGGGCCCAGGACAGGGACAGGAGTGTGTGGCCCTGACAGGAGGCTGATGCACTGATGACAAGCAAGCTCACTGTGCCAGCTCAGAAGGGTCACCAGGCTTGCTCACGTGGCGCTGTCACCCAGAGCCCAGCCTGCGCAGGCCATGTGGGTAAGCAGCTGCTGGCAGATGGCAGAGCCCCTGGGGAGGTGCCGGTCTCGTACATCCAGAGAGGTGCCAGGACCCAGAGCACAGGTCTGAGGAGGTCACAGCCCTAGATGAGCCCCAACTCACACACAGGTCTGCAACCCTCAGCCTCTGAAGACCAGCAGTGCTGCAGAGCCGTCCACGCCTCCCACACCCTGGCATGGCTGTGTGTGCCCCTGTGTTGTCATGCACAGGAGCCCAGGCCTGGCTCTCCTGCTTGGGGCTCTTCCCTGGCCTTCCAGGGGCCACCCTGCATGAGCGGCAGTGAGCCCATGGAGGCCCACTGCCCCTGCTGGACTCCCTGAAGCTGTGTCTAGGCTAAGGCTGATTAATGCTGCCACCAAGGAGCTGGGGTGCAGGAAGTAGGGTCACCCATGGGAACCAAGCACCCAGGGCCAGGGGCTGGGCAAGCTTGGAAAGCGGGCATGCACAACCCACCTGAGCCCTCCCACCTGGCAGCTTATGTCAGGGCACTGCGATGCAGCCTCTGGGGTACATGTCTGATGGCCTGAATAGTCGAGGCAGCCAGGTCACAGCCTGCCTGGGCAAAGGCATGAGGCTGCCCGGGGCACAGGCATGCGACGGAGGAGAGACCCAGGACAGCCACACTACTTGCCGGGCAGTGCCCACAAGGTGCTGTCCAGGCACTGGCATCTCCCTTCCTGACAAGTCATGTCAGGCTGGCCGTGGGAGGGCTGGGCTGGTTGCCACACACAGAGCAGGGCCACATCTGTCCTGCTCAGCAGGGGTGCAACAGCCTGAATTCTAGACAGGGCTGTGCACAGCCTCCAGGTGGCCTCCCTGCCAGCACCATTCCTGAGTGCCTGGTGCCAGGCAGACTCAGGGCTGCCAGGCCCAGCTGCCCTTTGCACCTCGGAGAGAGCACACGTTGACAGTCAGGAAATGGGATCAATTTTCTGCTGCCTCCAGAATTCCAGTGGCATCCCTGTTAAGTGAGTATCATTTCTTCCTCCCTGACCCAGACAAGGAACTCCCCAAGAGGTAGAGGAGTCCCTGAGCTGGAGCCGCAGCTGCTGACAGCCCCTTCCACTCTTTTTTTTTTTGGAACCAGGGATTGAACTCAGGACCTTGCGCTTGCCAGGCAGGCACTTAATCCACTGAGCTATCTCCCCAGCCCTAAAAAGTACTTCTATTTCTTTCTTTCTTTCTTTCTTTCTTTCTTTCTTTCTTTCTTTCTTTTCTTTTTTTTTCTTTTTTTTTTTTTTTTTTTTTTGTGGAACCAGGGATTGAACTCAGACCCTTATACTTGCCAGGGAAGTGCTTATTCCACTGAGCCATCTCCCTGGCCCCCCTTCCACTCTTCTCATCCATTCGCAGGCTGTTTCCATGGAACCTGTCTGGTCTTCCAAATTTTTAAAGAACTGCAGGGGTCCAGAGGCTCAACTGGGTCACAATACCATCCCTCTCTGTACCCCAACACAGAAAACAAGATGGGACGGCAGGTGGCACACACAGGGTTAACCATCCTTCTCTGGCTGCTCTGGGTGCCCAGCCTGGGATGTGCCGTCGCCATGGTGACAGCTATCCTAGGAAGCAGAGCAGTGGAGGCTGAGTGACAGGTGTGGGCAGGCAGATGGGTCGCTTTAACCCAGTGCTCTCTAGCCCACCGCCAGTCAGCCTCATGCTGCTGCCAAGCCAGCCCAAAGGCTCCTCTTGGCAGAAGCCCACTCAGCCTCCCACCTCCCCTGAGGGAAGGCGGCCATGGTGCTCCAGGGCAATGCTCCAGCCCATTCTTTCACTCTCAGCAACTAGGAGGGGAGCTCTGGGATGCTCCTTCACCCTGTGCATGCCAGATGCCCTCTGTCCTTGAGCACAGGACTGGGCCACCAGGCAGGGACCTCAGCAGCCTCTGAGGCTTCTGCTCAGTCCTTAGGGAAGCGGACTCTGTGCTGATCTAACCATATAGGCCCTCTAACACCCAGGGGCTGACGGGAGCCATAGTGACCTCCAGGGGCTGGGCATTCAATGACACCACAGGGGCTCACTAGACATCCCTGTCCCGGTCCTTGGCTGTCCTGCATCCCCCCATCATTCTCCTCATACTAGCTTGCCTAGTCTACATGGCCTGACCACCACCTGCAATGGAACTATACTCTGGGCTGACCCTCCACCCATTGCTGGCCTCTGCAGACCCACCCTCCCAGGGGGCCAGAATTCATGGGCTCAGTGGCTCTGAAGTGTGGGCCTCTTGGCCAGAACCTATGGCCTGGGATGGTTCCCAAGAGCTCTAACCTAGCCCTACAACCAGAATCCAGATGTGCTCTGACACCACAGCTGACTGTGGCCAACTGGATTGTGCAGTGGACAATGTAGAGGGCAAGTAGCCAGATAGCCAGGTGGCCTCGACCAGTGTTCCTGAAGGCCACAGGGATGTTCTGCATGGGGCGTCACTGGAGTCAAGGCTAGACCAAGCCCTTAGACAAGAGACAGAAAGCTAGAGCAGAAGGTCAGAGACCCTAAGTCCTTAAGTGTCCCGCCAATGGGAGCACAAACCACCAGATCTGGCTGCTGGTGAAGTCAAGGACATGGTGGTCCCACCAACCCTGAATCCCAGTGTGGGCTGGTCAGTGGGGCATGGGGACCCAGGCAGCCTGCCCACTTCCAAGAAGCCCAAAGACACCCAGCCTCTGTGTGCCCTCTGCACTGGCTGCTCCTGTGGAAGATGGCCTTTCTTCAAGGGACACAGGCAAAGCTGGCACTTCCTGCCTCACCTGTGTAGAACGGGCCACCTGGGAGCACCAGGATCTCTGTCTTGCCAGCTCAAGGGCTCTCTAGAGGCTAGGCCCCTTGTCAGCCCCAGCTGGGCTGCTTCCGCCTCAGGGATACCCAGGCCTGGAAGGGTAGACCCAGCCTCTCAGCCCAGTGATTGGGTCCCCTAGCCCTTGGGGACTTCTCAGGTGACACAGCTTCCAACAGGCCCCAGGTCCAGAACCTCAGTGTAGTGGATTGAGCTGTGTCACCCAAAATGCTGCATCCAACCCGGGTACCCACGACTGTGCCTTTATTTGAAGAGAGGATCTTTGCAAATATAATTATAGTCAAGGGTCTTGGGGGAGACTGCTCTGGATTTAGGGTGGCTTCTAAACCCAGTGACCTCATGAAAAGAAAAGACAGAGAGGAGTCCGTGTGAAGACAGAAATGGTGGTCAGAGTGAAAGAACCCCACCCGAGGAGCAAGGAGGGGTACTGCAGCCACCAGAAGTTGAGCCCTACGAAGGGTGTCCCATAGCCTGGGCAGGGCAACCTGCCCTGGAGCGCCCTGGCTCAGGACTGCGAGGAGCCCCAGCAGGAGCAGCTTTGTCTGAGCAGCACTGGAACATGGCGTGCACACGCAGGGGCCTCGGCCTGCACCCTTCCTGCAGCTCTCTAGCCCCAGTAGCATCCTCTTTCTCCTCTGTTCACAACTGAGGGCTCCGGGGGGTGGAGGGGAGGAGGGTCCCCACGGGTCCCCACCCTCACAAGGAGCAAAAAGCCACTACGAGCAGCCATCCCTGAGTCGGGGTGTGGCGGGGCAGGCTGGGAAGCAGCCTCCCTCATCTGCAGAAGAGTGAGTGGGCTTGGAGATGCCTCCAGGAGGGGACCCCAGCCCATGACCAACTCCCACGGGCTCCGGTTCCCAGCATAGCAGGAAAGGTGAGGAGGACACGGAGGGAGAGGAGGAGGCCTGCGATGACCAAGCAGCTCCCTCCCTGTGCACCCCAGCCAAGGCGGGTACCAGCAGTGCAGCTGGAGGGCCCCCTTCCAGACATGCCTCTTCCGCAGAGCAGAGGAAGGCGCCCCACAAGCCTCACCTCCCCCCAGGGCCTGGGCCTTCTCAGGGGTGTGCAAGCCCGCTCCTGGCAGGGTGGGCCAAGCCGTGAAGGGGCAACAGCTGCACCCAGGGGTGTCGTGCCAGACGCAGGAGAACGCACCTAGGAGGAAGGATGTGACCTCGGGACCGCGACCGCGCAGACAAAGGCGTTGTGCGTGGAGGCGGGGACGCCCCGAGAGCTGAGTCTGCAGGCCTCAGCGGCCCGGGAGCGCGGCCTAGAGAGCGTAGCGGCAGGGAGGGGCCCGCTTACCCCTCGTGGCCCTTGCAGAGGAAGAAGAGAGTGCGCCAGGCGTGCGCGGCGGCCAGCAGCAGCGACAGGAGGCTGGCGAGCAGGCTGAAGCGGCAGGCGGCCGGCGGGCCCCATTCCTGCACGGTGAAGCGCTCCCGCGCCTGCACCGTGAGGTTGGCGCTCAGCCACATGCCCTCGGTGAACAGCAGGCAGCGGCCACGGAAGTCGTGGCCGTTCTCGGACAGCGGCACCACCACCACGAAACTGAACAGGAAGGCCAGGAAGTAGCAGACGCACTGCGCAAAGAGAAAATTGTTGAGCGCCATGGCGGGCCCGGCCGCGCCGGGACTGGGCTGGAACCTGGGCGCCGGGTCTCGGGTCTCGGGCGCCGCGCACAGCCAGGCCCGGCGCGCGA